TGTTTTACATTCTGTAGTTAATTACCATTATAACAACTAACCTAACAGCTTTGGAAGACTTCATTGAATGGGTAGTTATTTTGAAAGGCACCTTCTATGGAGCTTAATGGGCAGCAAGACTACCTGTCCCATGAAATCTTGTGGCAGCCATCAGTCTCGTTCTTGAAATGAGAAAACTGGTGACAGAGGTAAGTAATGAAGGCTTCTCTGTGGCCTGCAGCTCCCAGATGTCTGCCAAGGAAATTCTAGGGAAATTATAGAAGTTGCAGTTGAAAAAAATCCAAAAATTCCATCTCTGTTACAAGTTTTTTTCCTGATGTGGGTCACAGCATTTGGCTCAGCTGCCTGAGGAACATGCTGAAGCTGATTAGGATCAGAAGGTACCAGTTCTGTACATGGAATTGTTGGATGTGTATTTAATTTCCACACAAAACAAGTATTCAGGATTTAAAGGGCAAAACAATGGGCTCTTGCTGTGATTGGGCTCTGTGCCTTGAGTGAAGAGTTTAGATTTAGATAGTTCAATGTTTCCTAGCTTTGTTTTGCTGTTCAGAGTTCTTTCAAAGCTTACCTTTGTAAAGTCTGTTGGCAAATGCATATTTTAAAAGAAGCAGTGAATGCCATAAAAGAAAGCAGGAAAAAAAGACTGTGGTTCTTAAAATAATAGAATTGCAAGATCAGGTGATACCTTTTTGGAACTCTCGTGTAATTTATTTCATAAACTTTATCATGTAATTTATTAATTTTATCACGTAATTTTATAGTTTTCTATTAGTAGATTAAACACAGTATTTTAAAATATATTTGAAATATAATCAGAAGGAAATCAAATCAATATTTTATTCAATATTAGAAACATTAGAAGCAACCATTTATTTCCTGTGATACTGTACAATATTTTTCATAAATATATACAATATTTATTTTATCAGAATATCCTTTATTTATTTAATTTAATTTAATTTATACCCCCGCCAGTCTAGACCGAAGTCTACTCTGGGCCGCTAACAATAATAAACAGAATAAAAACAATATAATAAAATAAAAAACAACAATAGTAATATCGTTCAAGATGGGAAAAATATTCACCATATCTATGTTATCATCTATGCAAGCTAAAACCAATGATTCAGGTAGATCTAGGTGGGAGCAGGCGTTCTGCTAGATATAGAGGTCCTAAACCGTTTAGAGCTTTATATGTCATCATTAACACTTTTAAATCAATGCGGAAACGAATGGGCAGCCAATGCAAGGCAGCCAGAGTGGGGGAAATATGCTGATATTTTCTCGTCCCATTGAGAAGTCTGGCTGCCACATTCTGCACCATTTGAAGCTTCCACATAAATCTCAAAGGTAGCCCCACATAGAGCGCATTATAGTAGTCTAATCTTGAGGCCAGAAGGGCATGGACAAGAGTGGTGAGTGCCCCAATATCAAGATAGGGACGCACAGATGTAAATAGGCAGAGTGGACCACTAACGCCACGTGGGTTTCCATGGTGAGCGCCAGATCCAGATGGACCCCCAAGCTGCGAACCTCACTCTTTGTGGTGAGATTCACTCTCTAAAGAGAGAGTGAGTTTCCCAAACTACTGATGGAGGGGCCACCCACCCTCAGGACCTACATTTTGTCCAGGTTAAGCCTCAGTCCATTCTCCTGTATCCATTGCAGTACAGCCTCCAGGCAGCGCTGTAGGGACAGAATGGCATCCACTGTGGTTGGAGAAAAGGAAATGTAGAGCTGGGTGTCATCAGCGTATTGATGGCACGAAGCCCCACACCCCCGATGACCCCTCCCAGCGGCCGACTGACCACAGATTCCCAGCTCAGAGAGCCTCCCCAGGAGGATACTCTGGTCGATGGTATGAAAGGCGGCTGAGATATCGAGGAGGACCAACAAAGACATTTTGCCCCTGTTGACCTCCCTCAGCAGGTCATCAAACAGGGTGACCAATGCTGTTTCCATACCGTGGCGCGGCCTGAAGCCCGACTGGAATGGATCCAGGAGCTTGGAGCTGGTCAGCCACTACATACTCTAACACTTTGCTGGGGAAAGAAACATTGGTGACGGGCCTATAACTGCCAATGTTGTCTGCTGCCAAACTTGGTTTCTTCCTTATGGGCCTAATGAGTGTCTCCTGGAGAAACCCATTAATTATTGCCATGGGCCATTTGGTTTTTGTAGGCCTGGCTGCTTTGATTAGCCAGGCCGGACAAGGGTCAAGGGAGGAGGTGGTGACACAACAGCAGTCAAGTGCTTTGTCCACCATATCTGGCATCACAGGCTGAAAGAGATTGAGTCTCATCAGGCACAGCGGAGTGCTGTACGTCTCTGCTCGATCTACTGTGTTCAAAAAAGGAGAAAGCTCCTGGCGGATGGCCTTTTTTGTTTATATATTGTCTGCAGTCCACTCTGAGACATTGTGCTACTCCATGGGTAGTCAGGGTAGGAAAGCAACTGTTCTGGGTCAAGAGAGTGTACCATATGACATTACCGCTGTTCTTATTGGCCTGTGAAGTAATGGAAAGGGATTCTTGCACAGCTATGATATCCTCTATTATGTTGGAGCTGGGTTACATCCCAGCCTCCTTCCACAGGAAGAGAGATGAGGCTGCTCAAGAAAACGTTATTGATTATAATATTATATTGATACTCAGATTATAATGGTATCTGTATTTAGCTGCCCCTGCCAATAGGATATACAATGGCTTTTACATGCCTTTTGGAAACGTGCCCCCATATTTGACCCTTATTAGCTTACATGAGCTGAGACAACTGCTAACTAAACGCAGATTAAACTCATTGCAGTTGAAAGAGATTCAGGGATGTTATATGGATCAGTATGGTACAGGCAGATATTACCCAGCAGGATGCTCTAAGATGAAAGTCGTAGTACATTTTCTAACAGAATGTTCTCTGCAGATTGAGGGATCATTATCTTAAACCCTTAGCAACCACGATCAAGAACAGATCCTCTTTATGTACAGTTTTATTTTTGCTAGCTGGCACAAATTATTATATATCCTATAGGACTGCTGAATTCATTAAATGACGCATGGAAAGACAGAACTCATTCCATTTTTCAAAAGCTCTTCAAGTTAATTTCACAACTTGAAACATATTTAACAGTGCTTGTTTTATAATTATTTTGTTGTTTTATGCTTTTCTGATTGTTTACATGTATAGTACTTATATTACATGCCAAATACTATTTTTTAAAACTGGTTTAATCTTGGCTAGAGATCAGAGTATTCATAGATCAATATGAATATCCCCATCCCAGCTGGACTTAATGAAGGTCCTCCCCCCTGGACCGGCCCGTCCACTCACGGGGTCCTGTTGCTGCAAAGATCTTGCTATTCCTGCCAGTTGCGCCGGGAGCTCCACTGTCTCCCTGCTTGGCTGGCCACTCCAGGCAGGGGCGGGAGGATGAGTTTTCCTGCATGGCTGCTGAGTGGTCAGTCCAGCACGGAAACAGCAGAGCTCCTTATGCAATTGGCAGGAAGAACAGGACCTTTGTGGTGCCAGGATGCGTGAGTGGACAGGATGGGTTGGTCCGAGGGGCTGGACTCTCATTAGGTCCAGCTGGGGCTTTATGAATATGAATATCCCCATCTCTAATCTACTCATTTACGACCTGATTGGCTGTGAAACAATAAAGTATTCATATTTGTACAGTGGTGCCTTGTATAACGAGGGCACCGTTGAACGATGAATCCGCATTGCGATGCGGATTTCCCCATCGCTAATGCGAGGGCACGCTCGCATTACGATGGGGGAACAGCTGTTCTGCGGCTCCAAAATGGCTGCCGGAACACAAAAAATGGGTGCCGGTACACCCAAGATGGCCGCTGGAACAAAAAAAATGGCCACTGGCACACCCAAGATGGCGGTCGGAACACCCAAGATGGCCGCCGGAACAAAAAAAATGGCCACTGGTACACCCAAGATGGCCACCAGAACACAAAAAATGGGCACCGGTGCACCCAAAATGGCCGCCGGTACACCCAGGATGGCCGCCGGAACAAGGGAAAACATCGGAGAACGGTGAGTTTTGGGCCCATTTGGAACGCATTAAACTTTCCAATTGGGGTTTTTGATCCGTTTTACGATGTTTTCCCATAGCGAAGGTTAATCCGGAACGGATTAACCTCGCTATGCGGGGCACCACTGTATTTTGTTTACAGACCAGAGTCTGTTCTATGCCTCACAGCCATTTAGTCTAGCTTGTGGCAGAGAAGAATCATAATGGAAAATGATCTGTCAAAAAAGACTGTATATATCTGGATATTTATCCTTATTCTCTTGTACAGTGGTGCCGCGCTTGACGATTACCTCATTAGATGAGGAAATTGCTGAACGATGAAGTTTTTGTGATCGCAAAATGATGTTTTAATAGGGAAAAATCGTTTTTTCCGCTTAACGACGATCAAAACAGCTGATTGTTGGGCTTTCAAAATGGCCGCCCGCTGTGTACAATGGCTCCTTGCTGTGTTTTAGGACGGATTCCTCGCTTTACAGGCACCGGAAAATGGCCACCCTATGGGGGATCTTCGCTGGACGCGGAGGTATTTCGCCCATTGGAACGCATTGAACCGGTTTTCAGTGCATTTCAATGGGATTTTTACTTTCGCTTGATGATGATTTTGTTCTACAGTGTTTTTGCTGGAACGGATTATCCTTGTCAAGCGAGGCACCACTGTATATATATTTCAGAACAGAAACATTTTGTATACAGTTTGTCCTTCCAAGGTGGGTGGTGGTCTACTATAGAAAAACAGTTATATGTAAAAAAAACATATTTTGTTATAAAAGTTGGACCAAGTGGCAGGCAGTAACAGCATTAGAAATGCTGGACAAGCAATAGGATGTGCTTGTGTAGAAAGAACTATTTATTGTTATGTGCTCTCTTTGATATACGTAATGTCATTAAACATTAGAAGGAGCCGTTAGTTTTTTGTGATGGTTGTGCCTTTAATCTTTCTTTCTTCTGTTTATAGGCTTGCATAGATGATAACATAGATATGGTGAAATTTCTGGTGGAGAATGGAGCCAGTATTAATCAACCTGATAATGAAGGCTGGATACCTCTACATGCAGCTGCTTCCTGTGGATACCTTGATATAGCAGAGTAAGCATTTTCTCTCTATATTTATTGTAAACTTTCTCAATCTATTGTAGCCTTTTGATGCTAACAGGAACTTATTTAACACCATGAATACCTTGAACACCCTTTATATATATACATATGTAGCTTTTCAATTAGGGCAGTGAGAAGGAAATTGTCTCCCTCCTTCTTCAGATACATTGGAAAAAAATGAAAGATTTACTTGGACTGCGCACATTTATCTATAATTGGTAAACATGTAGAAAGAAATATTTGATCCTCAGTTTGAGATTTTTGCTTTCTTTATCAGATAGTGGCCTTTATATTGCACCTTCAGTTTTGTAGCCAGAAGCTAATTTTAAGTAGAATTTTAAAACCAACTATTTGTGGCTATACTTTTGTCTTTTGTATTTTGGAATGTAGATAGTCATTCCAGGCAAACATTTAGAAATAGAGTGGTTGTGGTTTTTTTGGATATAGTTCTCTTCAGTCTTTCCTATTTGATATATTGGATATCCTTATTAGTAGTAGCTATGAATTTTAGAAACCTAATTCTGTCCAGGCTATAGATTGACACCTCTTCCATCACATACTTTGGATTCTGTTTTCCCTTAAAAGGAAGTGATAATAGCTGTATTCCTTTTGGCTGCAGTGTGTGTCACTATACTGTTTAAGCCAGTATATCAGATGGGATTGTATTTTAACAGATGGATATGTCAGTATTTTTCCCCCCTTGTAGCAGCTGAAACTGCTTTTTTAGGCATATGCGTGTAGATTGATTCTAAATGTTTTTCCAATCTCAGTTGTTCACCCGGTCATGCAGTTCAATAACATCTATTTTCATTACATTACTGTGTAACTAAGGATGCTATAGTTAGCAGAGTTACTGGAAATAAGATTTAAAAACAAGTTTTATTAGAACAGAATAAATACATCATTTGTGTCACAGATGAAGTAGTGCTTGATGCCGACTGCCACACCAAAAATTCTCAGAAAATTTTCTAAATTGCTTTATTGGTTGAGGCCCTTCACTACTTTAATACCACACAAGATACAGTGGTGCCTCAACTTATGAACACCCCTACCTACGAGCAGCTCCACTCGCAAAATTTTGCTTCAACTTGTGAGCAGAGCTTCGACCTAAGAACAGGAAAAGACAGGGGGGAAAGGCGGGAAATTCAAACGTTGGTGGCAGAGAAGCTGCTTCTTTGTAGCTCTTTCGCC